GGTTGACGATTGGGGAGCGGTCAGTGGCAGAGCGGTAGGAGGAGCTGTGATGATCCTTGAGGATGCGATGTCCTGGCACTCATCAAATATACGCTCCGCTTCGGTGGGTTCTGGGTCGACATAGACCCCCAGAGGCTCGATCCCCAGATCCTTGTCTACCTCATCCGGAGTGGAGCTGGTCTGTCCCTCATCCGGAACCCGGTCGGCGAAACCTTCCCGGAATCCTTGAGCATACCGAAGAGCACCGACCCTGGAGAGCCGAGCATGAAGGGCCAGCATCCCACCACCCACTCTGCTGATAGCGTCGATCAGAGCGGTACGCTCGTCCAGAGCTCTTTTTTCAAAAGCCATCCGAGCAGACTGTTCATCAGCTAGAAGACGTTGGAGTTCTGCCTTCTCTTCTCTGAGTGATTCCTGCTCAGTCTGCCAGACGCTCTTCTCGAGCTGGAGGGCGTCCTTCTCATCCTGAAGGGAATCATTCTCCTTTTTCAGGACATCTCTCTCTTGCTCGGCCTTGTCAAGCCGAACCAGCACCTCGGTATTCTTCATGGCAAGGAGGTCGTTCTCTTTATTAGCCACCTCCAGGCTGTCAGAATACTTTCGGGCCCTGGCGTTCCCCATTTCCACCTGCTTCTGCATGGCCATCATCCCGAACAATGTCTGCATAGGTGCACAATAAGAACGGTTAAACCAATAGTCAGAACGGGCGAAGGCAAGACCAAGTAATATAAGAGAATTCATGAGTTAGAAAATAAAAGTCACCTCCATAGCAGATTGGGGAAAGCGACTGAACACGTCCTTCTGGGAAAGGCCCTTTGCCGCCTCAATGTCCTTCGGAGTCCACATGCTCCTGTAGTAGGCCATAGCGGTCTGGCCATCCTTCAGCATGGTCTCGTTCGGTTTCACGAACGTCCCATCCGTTCGAGTGTACCGAGGGGCCCATGGCGGCAGGCTGGGGATAGAAGGGGGGCCTGAAGCAGAAGCAGAGCCACCAGCTGCAGGAGGCCCAGAGTGAGAAGGAGCTCTGATCGCTCGGTGCAAGAGAGTACCCGGCCCAGAGACTCGGGTCCTTCTAATAAGAGGCTCCTCCTCAGGGTCGATTTCACTGTCAGGATGAGGCCTTTTGCCTCGCTCTTTGTCCCGACCGCCCCCCGCAGCAGCAGGAGCTATGGTAGCTGGGGAGGGCGCGTTCTGGTTGGCCGCAGGGGCGCTGGCAGCAGGGTTAGTAGCCACTGCGCTCGGGACAGTGTCAGATATGGTGGCTGAAGAAGAAGCCGACGCTGGAGAGGAGGTCGCCCCAGCAGCAGGAATGACTGGGGGAGTATTTTTCCTCCTGCCAAAAGAGGGAATCTGCAGTCTGCTCATATTGTAGCCGAGTGATGAGAGCGCAAAGAGGTTGTCTGAAGTGAGGAGATCTGAGCAGGAAGGAATATCGTTCAGAACGTATCTCTTCAAGTAGTTAATCCTATCCCTGCAAACACTGTAGCTCAAGTCATCACAAGGTATTCCCAAGGAGCGGCATAAGTAAGTGCAAAAACGAGGAACGCATGTTTCACAGGGGCAGTCGTGTTTATGGGATTTGAATTTTTTATAGGAGGAGACAGAGCAGACACCAAAGGCGCTCGGGATTGGGTAATCCTCTGCAGCCGGCGAAGACCAAGCCCCACTAATACCCACTATGCTATCCCTCCAACCCTTTTCAGATTTTATTGTGTCAGTGCATATGGACATCTTCTCGAACGGGTAGAGGTGGTAGAAGGGCTCGTTAGTACGGATCTTACTGACCTTATAGCACAGAAGGAGGTCTATGAGGTCAAGGTCCAGATTTCTGTCACGCATCAATAAGAGCATAACAGATATGATCCTAAAGAAGTTGGGGTTGACCTGCAGAGGGGATATCCCCAATCTGTTGAAGACGTAACTAAAGAAAGGGTGCAGAGGGAACCTAACAACATTCAGTTGAAGGTTTGTGAATAAGACTTCGCCGGGCAGGAGGCCGGCGCCGGTCGTAATATTAACGTCTTGGGGGCAAACCCTAACTACGATGTTGTCAGGAAGTCTAAGTCTCATACGAAGAACACCCAGATCTACAACCATGGTGGAAGTGCAAGAAGAATCTAAAAGAGGGAAAATGGAAGCCTGCCGAAAGTAAAAAGAACGAAACTAACCTCGGAGGACTGCAAGATCGCTGGGAGAATGACTCTCGAAGGATTTCACCGGAAAAGGCTTAGCACAGTTCTAAAAAGAGGGAGATTTGGCTGATGATGGAGACGGTAAAGGGAAGTGAAGTGGAATTCTAGAGCATTATATAGGCAAGGGGGCCCGAGGGCCGAAGCGTCGGGAAGGCAAGAAATCCCTCGAACCCCGGAACATTGATTCTGGATCTGACCGTTCGCTCCCCCACGTGGTTATCTCGAGCCGTCAGCGTCATGATGAGACGCCATCAATAATTACCCCTTATTAAATAAGGGGCAATTATGGGGGCAGTTGAGGAGGCCCTGGATGACATGGGCCAGGTCCGACTCGCAAAACACAACCTTCAGTCCGAACAGCTGGGTCAGCCCATAGAAAGACACTGCCATATGGGCCGAGCGGGAGTAAGCCCATCAAGAGTGACCAGGGCTTACTGAGGAATAGGCCCAGGTCCATCAATTAGTAAATATCTTGTAAATATCTTGTAAATATCTGGTAAGTATCTATAAATAGGAGTTGGAATGAAGAGGAGGGGGATCTTGATTCGGGTTGAGGTGTAAGAATTCTAGAGAGAGAAAGAATAGAAGGAGTTTCTTGCATCTTCAATGATTGTATAAATCCGTTAAAAAATTCGTGGGCTTACCAAAATGCCTACCCAAAAAGCACCACTATAATGGTCCATATAAATATCCGATGAAGGCATTTTCCTTTTTTTTTTTTTTTTTTTTTGGCCCTTTTAGTTTGATTATCTAATGCGATAGAAATGGCTATTGACATACCAAAAAAGTTATAAAAAAGAAATGACTATTACCTAACTCTTCGGAAGAAAAATGTGAAAATGAGCATTCCAATAAAACGATGATTATTATTAAAGAGCAAGTTGAGATGGAATGAAAAAACATTTCATTTTATTATACTAAACATAGTTTAATGTAGTGAATTGTTCTGATGTATTTGAAATATGAAAACTAACTGTATTCTGAAATATTCTTCTTAATTAGATAGTGTGAATAAACCAAACAAGTGCGATGTAACTATTCTTAAATATTCTTCTTAATTAGATAGTGGAAATAAACGAAACTGATTGAACTTTAGAAGACTAGCTGATGATAGTGATAGAGTGTAGCCTTCCAGCAATTTAGGAAGGAATATATGCTCAAGGCATGGGAATGAGAATTGCAAGTGAAAATTCCCCTATTTGTGGTTGTTCCCTCGAATAAAGGATATTCTGGCCCTATTGTGCGTGTGGGTGCGTGTGTTTGTGACAACTTCAACTTCGCTGTGAAAGTTGCGTAAACAAGGGATGAGGATCAAGAGGAAACGGATTATTCTAGCTAAAATTACTTTTCTTGTCCTCAAGACCGTATGAGAGTTTTATAATAATAACTTGAACATGTATGTTTTACATCAATGCTATCATATGATGATATGGTTTTAGAAACTTTGGCATTGCAATCTATTCACGTAAATAATAAGCATGTGAATTTTATTTTATTTTATTTTATTATTATTATTATTATTTTCGCAGAAAAGCATGTGAATGTGATTACTTGCATCATGCGTATTTAATGGAAGCCCTTCTCTAACAGGTACATTGACCATTTTATTAACATTGGTGTGTGTGTGTGTGTGTGTATTAATAAAAAATTGTGACCAATAATTACACAATTTGCCTTAGGCTATGGGAACATGTAAGGGCCTGTAATTTGTATAATGTAAATATACATGTGGTGGTAATAACATATAGTATATATACTTATTCATTTGCCAATTGCCATGCTATATATATATGTGTGTGTATGTGTGCATCATTACTTTATTCTTACCTTAAATAATTTCTATCTGGTAAATCACACGAGTCCAATTCATTTTCATTTTCATTTTCATTACATGAAAGAAATTTAAATAAAATGAGCAGCACTGGGGATAGATATGAGACAAAAATGAGGAGGGCCCATTAATATTCCATAATGCCATCCCCCGACAATTGTTATGGAGTGGGGCCTATCCCACCAACAAGTTTTCAATGTCTAAGCCCAACCCGGCCCGTTACCATCATCAACTAATCAAGATCTGAACAGAGTTTCTTTTTTGGTAAGCAGGTAGATGATGATGATCAGAAAGAACACAGTTGATAGATACTAAGGACCTAATATCATGTTTTTTCAAAGCATTATGAGTTAGTTGATGATAACTGTAAAAGCATATTAATATTATTAATAGCCAAATTGGGAGCTCAGTCTTAATACTATCCCCCACATGAGATTGCAAATTTATTTGTTACTCATGTACAATATGATTAAACCCATGATCAGATTGGGAAAATAAAAACCCATGATGGTTGTTTAATATGTCCCACAACATGGGTCACTTAAATTTATGTAAATTATATATATATATATATATATATATATATATATGTGTGTGTGTGTGTGTGTGTATTGTGGGTGGGGGACAAGAGTGTAATAACAATAACATAGATCAGCACATCACTTGGTAAAATAGTTTTTACTTCTTGGACGTCAATTGTAAGAATTGGTTTGACTACAAATCAAATGAGGAAGAGTATTTATTATGTGCTGCTCAAAATCATAACAAAAATTTCACTAAATAGGAAAACAATTTTACAATGCTACCCTCCCAGTGTTTTGTTCGGTGGGATCCAGATCCGGACAACTGAAATTCCCACACTTAAAACTCAAATCAATTTTAAGTAAGTTGGGTTGGGGTGGAAACAAATTAAGCAGCTTATAGATATGATAAATGCATTTTTAATCATGCTGCTATCAAGCACCAACTCAAGAATGAGAATGCAGTGAACCCAGTGAAAGAAATAATTTAGACTAATCAAATAAATACAGCTGTATTAACCAAACTTGACAAGGCAACAACAATATTTACAAAAGAGCTCTACGTAAAGAAACCTAAATCAATACATCTTTTTCCCATATCCACCCCCTGGAAATATATTATCATCAACAGTTGTAGTCCATCATCTCTCTGGAAAACACCAATGGTAGCACTAAAACTCGCTGTCAACGCACCAAAACTAGAAAGATTCAACTTTTAAACTGAATTATCTTTGTACAAACACCCTGTCTTGACTCCACCTGTGAAAGTAATAGATCATACTCATCAAAACATTTAGTCAATTGAAAATTCCAAATACCAATACCAAAGAAAAGCCTCTGTTTTGTCATGCAAAATTATACCCTGCAGAAAAATACAAGGAGGAGCTAGCCCAAGCAGCAAAATTATTCACATTCTCCTTTTTACATGGTCAACCAAAAATGGACGAAATTTTAGGCTGAATTTAAAAATAAAAAAAAATAAAAAAATAAAAAAACCAGATGAATTTCTTGAAAACGTTCAAATGGAAAAAGTTTCAAAAGCCAATCAAATAAAACCCACTATCAGCTTGTAAAGTGTGGCCAAACCAAACTCTGTTTTCCTTTTGAGAGTTACTACCATAGAATCAAATAGAGCCCACAAAATATATAAGAGCTCTACTATGCATCACAGATCCAAAATTCACCAAAAGTTTACCCTGTATAGCTCTCACCTAAGGGCGGCAGCCCATCAAGCCATTTGCTGACAATCAGTGATCTTCACTACATGATGCATATCAGTGCTGAAAATATAACCACTTCTGTACGGCAACTAAAAACCCAGAACTACTGAGAGAGGTGTTTCGAGAGCAAGTGTTTTGCAGCCATGCCATGCAACTGTGCAGGTCCCACATTAGACTGATCCTGAAACACAAATAAAATCAGTTGTGAGGAATCCATAAAAGAAAAACATTAAATGATCTCAAGCACTTGTGAATCCAATACCATATCTTGCAAACTGTCTTGAATGTCAAAACAACTCTGAATACTGTGTGGTCTGAAATGTAATTGCCCCTACAAGCATGTAACAGGATATGTTATTTAATTGCTTCATCTAAACAGCATAATACAACAATAAGGATTTAAGATTTTCACAACACTTCAGAGGATATAGAGAGGTTCGTAGACAGAAATGCCCCCAAAACAGTTGTAAAATCCCTTTTACTACTAACAACAAACTCAATTACACAATATTGTCAGCTTATGTGAAACCTAGTTCCTTTACAAACACATGTTAAAATACCATACCAGCCCCTGCAATCTTTGTTGAGTAAGGTAATGACCATCATGAATTGGTGCTATTGAATTTAATTGCCCCTACAGCAAGAACAAATACAACTTAAAAGTCTATATTAAGAAAGGAAAAAAAAAAGTGCAAACGCAATGTGGCCGAAATTGTTATATGCATTACCAGCCCCTGCATGCTCTGTTGATTGCTATAAAAATCATCACGGCCAGGAGCAAGGGTATTTAAATGTCCCTACAACAAGAAGCAACACAGATTATATTATTGGAAGTGAAAAACAATAACGGTTTAACTTCTTGGTTTGTACATTATGCTCATTATCAGAACATCCCCTACCATTCCTTGTACAATTTGTTGAGTGCCAAAATAGCCATCAAGGTTTGGAACTCTCGAGTTCAATTGTTCCTACAAGAATAAAACCCCATATCTAAGAAAAGACCACTTCAGATTATATTTTAACTTCAACTACATAAAAAATCTACTGTCTAATATATTAAAGTAACAATTAAAATCCATCATACCATCCCTTGTATGCTCTCTTGCGTATCATAAGAACAATCAAGGGTTGGTGCTTGTAAATTTGAGTGTCCCTACAGCAAGTATGGAACCCACATCAAAATGCATCTTCTATATCTATTTCAAAAATAAAACAAGGTGGTCAAACAGGTGAAAAATGTAACGAACCATTGGCTGCCAGGTTTCATGCATCCCAATTGTTATTACTTCTGGCTCTGACTGTACCTAAAATATATATGCAAAAGACCTACTCAAGTGAATTATCATTTCTAATGGTTTGAAATGACTTGAACTATAAGCATGATTGTGGTAAAAGAAGAAAAAGAGAATCAAATTACCTTTCCTTTTCTACACATACTGTTCTTTTTATTTGTCTTGCTTGTACTGTTACCTTGGATCACTTTTTCAAAGTCATTAAGACCACGAGTTGATGGAGAGCTGGGCTCCAATACAGGTTGAACTGAGTTATTCATACTCTCACACTTTCTCAAAGCTTCTTCCAGTGCATTGAAAGCAATATTGTAACTCTCTTGAGATAAAGATCCTTCATCACCCAATATAAAAGCCCGTTGACATAGATCATTGTAGCGTTGAACCCTGGACTCAATCATATGTAGCTCTTGTCTCGTGGTTTGTCTACTTTTTGCATCCTTTGTCCAGCGTTTCAAAATATATTGAGATGGAATGTTATGCACACCGGACATTTGAAGAACAATCATGACATGTCTACAAAGGAAACCACTGTATTCAAATAAACGGCAAGTGCAAGAAATATCAGATGTCATTTCATTCCTCACTACAACAAAATCTTGATTCTCTTCAAAATCTTGAACTTTGAACATCATGATTGCACCATCTTCACTTTCTTTCTTTGGATGACAAGCAACAACTCCCAAAACCTCTACTTGGAACTTCTTGAATATAGCATGTGTGTAAACTGTTGCCATTTGTTTCCCGAAGGGTGAGGGGGATTTTAATCCTGGTTGTTTATGCCATGACTCAAAATCTGCTTTTGCTTCCTCTTCATACTTCTCTTGTAAAATTGCTTTGTAATGGTCTAAAAATTCCTTCAACGTAGTTCTCCGTTGCATGTATTTATCAAAAAAGGAGTTTATACTTTCCGACCGTTGCGTTGTAGATATCCCAGCCAAGAAAATGTTTCTCATGTATGTTGGAATCCATCGTTCACGATCGTCATACAATGATTGAAACCATATGTCATTTCTTAGATTGAATTTATCAACAATTTTCCACCATCTCTTTTCAAACTTCTCATCTGTTGAAGACTTAATAATACATTTGTTAAATTTAGTCATAAAGTTTTCATGTTGCCTTAACACATAACTGAGTTTCTCCGGAATCTTGCTCAGTATATGCCACAAACAAAAACAATGGCGAGAAACAGGAAAAACATCAGCGATAGCTTCTTTTAAGACTTTGTCTTGGTCAGTCAATATCACTTTAGGAGCTTGTCCACCCATTGCTCTAAGCCACGCTTGCATCACCCAAGCATATGTAGATTTAGTCTCATCTGCAATCAATGCACATCCAAGCAACACAAACTGAAAGTGATGGTTCACTGCAATAAAGGGAGCAAACGGCAATTTGTATTCGTTCTTGATATATGTAGTGTCAAAAAACACTACGTCGCCAAAATTTCCATAGTCAAGCCTACCTTTGCCATCAACCCAGAAAACATTTCTCAAACGCTGTTCTTCATTCAAATCTAGTGCATAGAAGAAGGTGGGATTCTCATCTTGCATGCACATAAAATGTTCAAGCATAACCTGTGCATCTCCCTCCTCTAAAGCTAAAAGCTGCCCACTACTACCATTAATGATGCCACTCTTTTGATTCACAAATTTCTTAATTCCACCAGTCTTTCTGGACATTGTGACGTACATCTTTTTTGTTCTTGCTCGGATAGCATGCAAGGCATCAACATTACTGTTGCCTAGATCTATGTTTCTGTGACCTCGAAAGTAATAGGCTTGATCTGGAAAAATTTCATGGTTATGCTCCTTTACGAAACTACGAATAATCCATCTTCCATCCTGCCTTCTCTTAACATGCATGCAAGCCTTGCAATCCGTCTTTGACCAAGATCGATTTATTCTTCCTCGTTTTCTCTTAATAGGAATGTTTGCTGAGCCGTCTGCATTTGAAACAAGTTCTGGAGTTTCAGATGTACTAGATTCTCGCTTGCTTCCATATCTAGTACACACAAATTTTGCATCAATAAATTTTCCAGAGATTCTTGATCGACGGCTGGCCTTTATTATGGTGGCAAAACCAACAGACTTGGCGTATTCTTTATAAAATGAAAACGCATCCTCCTTGGAGTCAAATTCCATACCATCACATGGCTCTAAATTGGTATGAAAATTCACAGCAACTCCATCTTCGGCATGCACTTTCTGTCTGCTATTTGATGTGAATCCACTCACATTTGGTCCTGTGTTTTCTTTATCATGTACAGCAATCTTAGGAGAGCAAGCAGTTGCTCCATCCCTGCCATGCACTTCACCTCCAGCATCCTCCGCATCTTCGTTCACATTTGGCCTACTGTCTTCCTTATAATGTTCTCCTGATGGCTGTTCAAGGTCTATTCCGATTGAGGGCATTTTTTTTTTTTTTTTCTCTCTTAAATTTTTTTACAACATACCTGGAAGTATTGATAAATGTGTGAACTCAGCATTAGTAACCAAAATCAATTTTAAAAAATGCAGGAATATCCAGCTATGTAAGAAGAAATATGTAAAATTCGATATAATTCAAACTTCTTGTTACATTTTATAATGGAGAGAAGATTCTAAGATTAAATTATACCCTTTCTGAAGTGTTAGATCATGATATATGTTGTTGGGCCCATTCTCTAACAGCCTAACTTTTGGAGCAATTGGTAGTCTAATGGTATCAGAGCTTTGGTTCTGGAGGTAATGGATTCAAGTCTCCATCTTTCCATTTGTTCCCCAGTTCATTGTGCACATTTTGCACTTGTTCTAATCCTAATTTGGTCTATTTGCCTTGCTACGTGGAATACCGTGTCGCACGTGAGGGAGGGTGTTAGAACTCGATATACACTATTGGGCCCATTCTTTAACAACTTCAGCTTTTGGAGCAACTGGTAGTCTAACATACAAAAATAATAACACGGTAGCATTGAATTAAGAAAATACGCAAAAGAATAAAGTAAACCTTCGTGATGCAAGTAAATTAGTGCACTGTGATTCATTTAAGATAATAAGACAACCCAATCATAAATGTTTAAAAGCATTGAATTCACTTGTACAATTACTTATCCGAAAAAAATATTTGAATCCACTTATACAACATGATTTATATACATATACATATATATATATATAGAGAGAGAGAGAGAGGGAGAGAGAGAGAAAATCAATATATATCAGAAAATATCCTACAAACTTAGAGATTAGGAATTCAAATGAGGTATCATGGTTAGTTTAGATTGTTAAGTGCTACACGCTTGAAGGACTCTCTGCAGTCTAATATTTTCCAGTGAACTTAAAAGAAAAGAAAAGAAGAAGATAGAGATAGAGGAAAAAATTAGAGAGAGATTGATTTAAAACAACATTAGCTTGCTTGAAGTTCAACATTTATGTGATGACTTTCCTTACATGAAACTACAATCATATTTTACACAATAACAACCAGATTATGGCATTAGAAAAAATCACTAGAAGAGCCAAGTCAGGTTCTCAAAAAAAAAAAAAAAGAAAAATCAACAGTATTACTAGACACCAAATCCTAGAAAGGGATATTAGATGTAAACTACACTCCCTTCAGGGGTAAAAAACAAACAAAATCATAAAGATAAACTAGGCGATACAAATGACTCATCCGTGCCTATTTTTTAAAAGAAAAGAAAGAAAAAATGAATTCATCGTCAAATACTTGTTTCACCGGAAAAAATGAAAATGACATATTTCCACAATGAATGGGCACAATTATAGCTCTAGCAACTAAGGCAGGCAAGATGAGTATGTATCACTCGCACAGGAACATAATATATACACAAACACACACATATGAGAACCACTTTATTTATTTATTTACTTATATTAACAAATGGAAGATAATGCAATAATTATTGGGTGTGGTGAGTGTAATATGGTATAAAGAATCAACAACGTTGCAGTCATCAACATTGATAGAAATATGCAGCCCCTACAATATGCAAATTAGAGTAGGATACGGCTCCCACATGGATAAATTATGTTCCATGGGTCATAACAAATATATAGTAATTGCAAGGTAAAGCATTTTCAGAACATAAATTAATGAGATGGAGAAAATAACAAATAAAAAATAAAAAGAATGGTTCCAATTGTTGGGGTCACCAGATTGAACCTCTTGGAACAACAACCAGACATGTTTTGCCACGTTTTAGAATAATATATCATGTGTAGATTCACATCATTAACATACATAGTAAACTCTTCTTAAATCAGTTGGTTCAAATTTCAATTTGATGTTGGGGATTCTTGCATAGCATAGCTTATTATCGGCTCTTCAATAATATATTTGAATTCCAACATTAATCATACGAAATCAAATTGCCGAATGCCAAAAAACAAGTAAACAGATTGCCAGTCACTAATTTTGCTCATAAAAAGCAATTTACTTCTTCACGTCTATAATTTTATATAAGCTAATCAGCGTTTTCTCTGGTTTCCCTAAGCATTAAAATTTATCCGAATATATATCTATATGTGTGTGTGTACATATATATATATATACATATATATTTTGAACTTTCATTTCTGTACTTCCTGCCTACACAGTCACAGACACGCAAGTGAAGAAAAATGAAAATGCATGGAAAAAAAAAAGTAGAGAGAGAACGAGTAAAATTACGGCAAGTGAAGAAGTCCAACAGAGATTGAAGATCGTAGCAGAGAAGAGTGAGTGAGATTTGCGGGCGAGTATGGAACTCTTCGTTACCTCGACAGGTTAGGGCACCACACACTTTCCAAACGTACTCGCATCTCGCGTTTTCTCACTCGCCTCTCCTCCTATCCTCTCTACTCTCATGGGTCGGCCCACCTAAGTCTAGCCGCTTTTTTTGACCCAGCAAGATGGCACGGATCGATCACAATGTCGTTTAGTTTATGGGCTTAACTTTACCATGTTTTAAAATCTGTTGGGTCTCAAATGAACAAAGCTACTCCACTTATTAAGTTGGGCTTCTAAAAGAAAAAGATGGTCAAAGTTTTTGGCATCGTTACGAGAACAACAATATTTGCCTTCTTAGGCCCTGTTTGGTAAAGCTGCGATTTTTATTTTTTTGTTGTGATTTCATTTTTGTTAAAATGACAAATTTATGAAAAGTTGTGCTGTCATTTCAGCCAAAACAAAATACGTTTGGAAACGTACATCTGCGGTTGAATTTCGCCTTTTTTTAACCCAGATGGAATGGATAGATCACAATGTTGTTTAGTTATGGGATTAGTTTTACCATCTTTTAAAATTTGTCGGGTCTGAAATGAACAAAGCTACTTTTATTTATGTGAAAATGATAAATTTATGAAAAATTGTGCTGTAATTTCTGTCAAAATAAAATACGATTGGTAACGTACATCTGCTGTTAAATTTTTTAAAAGAGAAAAGAGAAAATATGTTTGGTAATTTTAAAAAAAAAAAAAAAAAAAAAAATGCCTATTTTATTTACAATTTGAATATAATTGAAAATTAATAAAATAACATTTTTTAATTTTACTATTGGAGTATAATGATGTACCTCAACGCCTAGAAAATAATAAATGAAGCCAAGATCCTGCATAGAAAATGCTTCTCCGAGTTTGTGAATGAAGGCATTTAAAAACTCGGGATTAGAACTTGTGAGGATAATGTCATCCACATATAAGAGTAGAAGAAGAGTGTCATGGTGGCTATGGCAAACAAAGAGAGACGAGTCAACTGCACTGCAAAAGAAACCATTAGATAACAAATATGAGCTAAATTTATCAAACCAAGCCCGTGGGGCTTGTTTTAGCCCTTACAAGGCTTTCTCGAGTCAACAAACATGATTGGGTCGTGTTGGATCCTGAAAACCAGGAGGTTGGTCCATGAATACAGGGTCAACAAGATTACCGTAAAGGAAAGCATTTTTTACATCGAGTTGTCTTATGTCCCAGTGGGGAACAAAGGCTACAGAAAAAAACAATGCGTATTGTAACAAGCTTGACTGCAGGCGAGAATATTTCAGCAAAATCAACACCAGGAACCTGAGAATAACCTTTTGCGACTAATCGAGCTTTTAACTTCTCAAGTGTGCCATCAACTTTAACTTGTGTCTTAAAGACCTACTTAATGACATTCATGTCGGTTTTGTACGGAACCAACTCCCAAGTCTCATTTTGGTGAAGTGCCAAGAGTTCTTCTTCCATTGCCAAATGCCATTCTGGATGTTGAAGGGAAAACTTTATGGTTTTGGGTTCCTTAGGTAAATCAATGGCTAGTGGACAATAATCATGTAAGGAGTATTTGGGAATGGGTTTAGGTGGTCTATTACTCCGATGAGGTAGTAAATCACGAGTGGTATTTTCTTCTAAAGGTGGACTGGGAAGATCATTTTGGGGTGGTTCTAAGTTTGGTAAACATAGATCAAAATGTGGGGTCAAGGTAGGAGATGAATGAACACAAGAGGGGTCAGAAACTGATTGGAGTATGGTATTTAAAGGTAAAGAGTTGATTTGGTTGTGGGCTGGAGAGATATCTTCTGGCATTTTTTCCATTGGAAATGGTTAGATTGTAGGGGAAGTCTCTTGTGATGAAGAGAAATCTTGAGATCCTATGAACCAATGAAAAAAATGTGATTGTCATTAGCATCTCTTATGGTAGAAAATAATGACCTGGGAGTACGAATTAAAAAAGTGAGCTCATTAAACACCACATGTCATGACATATATACAGTAGGTGGATAATAACATTTGTACCCTTTTAAAAATTCAGAATAACCAAGAGATACACCAGGTAAAGATCTCAGATCCATTTTTGTTTTTGTATAGTCTCTCAAATCCGGGAAACATCTACAACCAAAGACCCTTAGAGAACTATAATCTGGTGTTTGTTTTTCCAGCACCTCATATGGACATTCCCAACTCAATACACGAGATGGTTGTCTATTAATTAAACATATTGTTGTTGCAAAAGCTTCAACCCAAAAACTTTTTGGAACATTACTATGGAAGAGAAGAGTTAGGCCAAGCTCAATAATATTCCTGTGTTTTCTTTTAGGTAAGCCATTTTGTTCTGGAGTATGTGGGCAAGAGAATTGATGTTTGATTCTATGATCTTCCAAATATGAAATGAATTTTTTATCAATAAATTATCCTCCTCCATTTGATTGAAACACCTTAATTCTCTTATCATATTGATTGATCACATATTTGTGAAAATTAATGAAACATGAGATGAAATCAGATTAGTGCTTTAGTGGGAAAAACTAAGTATACCGTATGCATTCATCAATAAAAATAACATAATACCGAAATTTTTTTAAAAAATAACACATGAGCTACACCTCATAGATCACAATGAATAATTACAATAGGTTCATCACAATTTTTTATTTTATTTTATTTTTTATTTTTTATTTATTATTTTTTTTTTTTATGACATAGGAACCCCCACAATTACCTGCCCTTTGGACTTGTAGCTACCGTGTGAACCCCCAGCTACCCACCCCGGCCCCACAATGCGAGTAATAGGTGGTTCATCACAAATTTTATTTGAAGGAAAGAACGGTAAATGACATGCCTTTGCCATTTGACAACTTTTGCACAGTTTCTCAACCTTATTTCCAATACTAAAAATTAATTTGTTGCTCTTAAACAGATCTATTACCTTCATCTGAGGATGACCTAACCGTTGGTGCCAAACTTCATCTGAAACAACTTTATTTCTAGTTCGGAAAAAGGCTTCCTTTTTTTGCTGCAAAGCATACAATCCTCCACATCTATTCCCCATTGTGATTAATGCATTTGTCTCCATGTTCTTTATCCTAAACCTACTAGATGAGAACTCAAAATTATATGAATGATGAGAAGTCATATGACTAACAGAAAGCAAATCCCTTTTCTTTCTTTTTTTTATTTCTGGAACAACTAGTACATTTTCTAAAGCCAATGTTTTCTTTCTAGTGGGAATACTAGCAATACCAATATGTGAAATTGTGAAACCATTTCCATCACCAATGAAGACTTTATCATGTCGAAAATAAGGAGAGTAATGGTCTAACTTACTAGTAGCAGAAGTCATGTGAGATGATGTTTCTGTATCTGGATACCAAACCGCATCTTGTGAATCAGACATCAACATGGTTGCTAGTGCATATGTAACATCTTTTGGTTGATATGTTTGATTAAACCCATGCCAACACTGCAAGGCATTGTGTCCATACTTTTCACATATTTGACACATAACTTCATATTGAGATGAATGGCTGGTCTTAGCAGCAAGTGCATTTATGGAGTTATTATTCTTCATAGCATTACTTCTCCTATCAGTTGAATAACCTACTTGAGAAAACCCACGTCCTCTTGATGAAAAATTATTGTGAGCTTGTCTTCCCCTACGACTAAAATTCCTATTGTTGATGTGAGATCTTTCATCAGCAAAAGCAATATTTTGATTAACAAGGGAAAAGTTAGCATCATTGTTTTGGGAAACATACAAGTTTTAAATACTTTTCGAGGGATTTTAATACATAGATCTTGATTCATCACATAGAGACAAGTTTTATGCAAAAATAAAATATGATGTATCATTCAACTAATGGATTGAATACTTACATCAAAGGTCTGAGTAAACCTTTAAATCTTTCCTCTAAAGTGAATGTTCTCACTTATTGTAGATCCCTTAACAAGATGCCTTCTCCTTGGATCTCCATCTTCTTGGTAATTGTTTTGCCTTTAGAAATCACTCATAAGCCTCCATGAATGACCTTGGAAAATTAGGCTTGTGGGAGCCTCCATTAGATCAGAACATAAACCCTAATTTTCTAGAGAGAGAAAATATATTCCTATTTCCTTCTCATAAAAATCACTCCTAAAATATACATAGACCATGTATATATATAGGCAACATAAAGATAAGGAAAAGGAAACAATTAATCCTTCTCAATCTCTAATTCACATGTTTCAAATCTAATATGATTCCAATATCAAGTTGGGCTATGAGTGAGAATCCTTGGGGCCTATTATTTTATTGGCTACAATGAATTAATAATTGGCTCGGTCCATGGACCCAATTCAATTAATTCATAAATTAATTTCTACTCCATTAAAAGAAATTAATTGAACTCCAATTAAATAATAAATAACTTCTAAGTCAATATTACACTTTGACCCCTCTATGCATAATTAGTTATCGGATAAATAAAGCCATCAATCTGACTACTTAATTAATATATTTATTTTGGTACCTTTGATTATTTCTAACTCGATCACAATAAAACATTTGTTTGAAAAAAATAATAATTTAAATAAATAAATATATAATAAATCATTTTGTTTAAAAACACACGAACGCCTTCGAATTTACTTTGTAATCAACCATAATTAATACAAAATAAATATAAGTAGCAATGATGCAAATATTGAAAATATAACCCTCTAACTATTAATTACATAATTACCCAAAGTGTCGGTCTAAGGATCTCGAAGAATCCGCCGAACAAATCAAAGTAATTATTAATTAATAAAATAGTATATAATTTTCTCATGCTTAAGAGTCAAATGCCATGACGGAGATAGGGAGCAATTGCATACGACGGCTCTCGCAATATATCTCAACCTAACGCGGATCCAGTTCAAATCTTAATTAATTATGAGTTCATCCATAATTACCGACTATGAACCATTTATGATTACTATTTATATATCATGCATTGATTACCATCACATACATATATATAAATATCTCTTGTAATCAAATGGACACTATCAATTCTATAATGAATCGAAATATAATACATTGAATTCACCAATTGTATAAAACATAAATATTT